TTTCACACACACACACACACTGCCGCCTCTCTCTGAGATTGCTCCCTCAGCCACAGCTGTTCCAGCAATTTCTTAAGGACAGAGTAGGAAGAAGGGCCAGCCCACAACCCACCTTCAGCCAGCTCCCAGGAAACTAGAAAGGGAGCAAGAGCCAGACCCAGCCTGGCCCCTCCGATGGCTGTATCGGGTGCAGCCTAGGAGCCTCCGACGCCTCCAGCACTAGCCATTGGGACGTCGAGGGGGGCCTGATCAACAGGACTCCAGGGAGGCCCCTGGCCTGCCACATAGGCTGATTGGGAACCAAGACCTTTTGCCTGTTCAGGGCCTTTCTAACATCCAGGAGCTTGGGATGTAGAGAGGAGGAGCCTCTGAATAAACCCCTAAACATCTCCAGAGCCCCCAGGCCTGTAAGTGACCAGTTTTTCCAGCCTCAGGAAAAGCATGTGATGTGTGCTTTAGGCAGTAATGGCACAGCTGGGAGGGGATGTAATAAGCTGACCTCTCTAGAATGGCAGGGGTGCCCTGTGACTGTCACCCCACCCCAAAGTTTGTTCCTGAACGACAAGACCATGTTTGGTATCTGCCCCCAAGTCCTAGGCAGCAGGAAGCCTCTAGGATGACTACTGCCTGCAGATGGCTTAGGGTCAGGCTCAGAGCACTGGCTGTGAGGAGCCCAGTTTGTCCCGAGGATGGAGCATGGGTTGAACCCTGGAGGCTGGCCCAGGGCAGAGAGCCAAGTCATGGAAACAGCAAGAACAGGCTGAATGTAAAGCAAAGGTACCCTAGAGCTAGGAGGAGTGGGACAGCATTGCTGAGGGGCCAGGCTGGGACGTAGCCTTGGCGACAAAGACAAGCAGGACGCTGGCCTGGAAAAATAGCATGGCGAAAGGCCTGGCTTTCCCCCATCCCTTCCAGCATCTGCTTCAAACACCATCACACACTGAGCCCCAAGTACAAGTCTGTCTCCATAACCAAATGGACACGTGTAGCCGGCCAAGCACTGCCCACCCACATGTGGCCCTTTTGGCCATAGGCATGGCTACAGCACACTGTCACATCCGACCCCCACACAGCTGCACACCCACGGGCCTGTGCACACAGCCACTCACTGATAGACATATACACGCCACCCATGCAGCTGTGCGTGGACTGTTCACATCCACATTATTTGCATAGTCACAGATACGTTATCCACAGGAACTGCTCATGGCCACGTCACATGTACACCTCTGCAGAAACACCACAAGTACACATACAGCTTCGTGGAGTCTCATACACATGAGCCCTATGCCACATATACACAGGCAGTGCAGTCACAATTACAGACAGTGATATATATAGACATAAATACTCAACTGCGTAATCCTGCAGCCATCCATCCATACATACACCCATACATAAGCAAATACAAGCCCACAACTTCTCCCTTTCTCTCTCTCTTAAATAAAAGACCTAAACAACATTATTTCCCAGTGTTAGCACTAAGTTAAATCAGGGCTAAGTTGAATCAAGCAGCCAAGAAAAACTTGCAGAAAGTTGGCTGGGAGAAGCTTTGCTGCAGAGCCGAGCTGAGGGAGGGGAAGCCGGCAGTGGGTCACATATAACAAGACAAGAGAAAAGCAGTGCTTCCCCAGGGCCTCCACTCCCCACTCCCTCAGCCAGCCAGGCCTTTGGAATCAAAAGGCCCCTTGCAGGGGGGTTGGGGACGTTGTGGGGGCTGGGAGGGGAGCTGGGGAGACTGCTGACGGAGGGAAAGTGTTTGGAAAGAGGAGGCGTCTGTGGTTTGGAAACGGCAGGGCTCTCCATCCCCGGCCTTCAAAACCAAAACAGGCCTGTCCACCTCCCCACAGCCACCCACCCACTCACCCAGTGGGCGGCCTGGCCAGCCCTTCCTGGGGTAGGGTTGCCACCATCCTTTGAAGGCACTTCAGAGTGACTGTGGTCTCAGTGTTTCTCAGGAGCCCTGAGTTGCCCCCCAGAACTCATAGCCCCCCTTCCCTCAACTCGGATTCCTAAGGGACATCTCCTCTAGAGACCCCAAGCAACCTGAATCATTCAGCCACCACCCTGAGGCCATTTCCGTCTTTCTGCACATCCTCCTGTCTGGCCCACAGGTGGGGTGTGTGGCCCCGGTCCTACAGAGAGGCTAGCTCTGCTGCCTCTTCAGGGGAAACTGTGAGTTGAGGGCCTGAGTCTCCACGTAGCACATGGAGGTAATTCATGCCTCTGCTGTCTAAGCCAACCATGGCAGAAAACCATGCCCCCAGACAGACCAATTGGAAGAGTTGCCCTGCCTGGAACCAGGGCTCTGAATTTTCATCACCTAGAACCTATATAGCTACAGGGCTGGACAAGACACTGAGCCAGCCAGATACCTGACTAGGAGCCCATAAACTCCCAGACATCTGTATTCACGTCCGTCCCAGGGCCACCAAGAACAAGGCTTTTTGCAAGAACAGCTCAGCTTTACTGGGTAAAGCTGATATCCTCCATTCCACCCACCTGGAGAGGGTCAAGGGAAAGCAGGTGGTTACATGGCCTGTGGGGCTTCATCCTCAACACACACACTGGGGGGCTGTGGAGGCTGGTGGGAGCCTGAGCCGCAGGACACGCTTTAGGCCCAGTTCCTTGCCATGCGGCTGGGCAGGGCTCCTCTGATCTTCCCAAGAGAAGGACTGTAATTTTTCTCTGCAAAAGCATCTTTGCCTAGGAAAACTTTAACAATGGCTTCCTGCTTGAACCACAGGTTTTTAAAAATAGCCCAGCTGAGCAAAGGCAAAATGTGGAGCCCAGGCAGGCCTCGCCTTGCCCTAACCTCAGACCTCTGGATCCCCGGGGCCTGGCGCTGCCCTCTGGCCACCACTGGGGCCAGGATTTACCGTGCCCCACCGGAAAATGGAGTGGGACCAGGCGCAGACAGGAAAGCGGAGGGTTGGACTATAGAACACTGAACTTCTCAAAGGCCCGAGTCAGAATCTGGCCGAAGGAGGTTCTCAGGCGGTCTTGGCAGCTCTTCCCAGCATGGCTGGATTGGAATCTGAAAGCTTCCAGGAGCTAGTTGATGCTGAGAAAGGCTTGCAGTGGAGAAGAGGCTCCCATGGCTTGTCACCCACCTTTTGCCTTTTGGCAGTCTTTCTGATTCTGCCAATGGCCCATCACCTCTGTCCTCATAGCCTGGCAGGGAAACCACCTCCATCCCAAAGGGAGTTGCTATCTTGGCCCAGCAAAGGGCCACAGACACGACCTATCTAATCCAGGGAAGAATGACCAGATGGCCCTCCTGTCACAGGGGTTGGGGTGGCAGCTCTCCTCCCCCACTGCTGCCAGAAGCGCAGGCTGGCTGCTCACCAGGGTCCAGCTGAGGAGACGGGGTGATTGTCACAGCTGGGAGCTGGGAGAGAAGGGACAGACATCTTAGAAACCAGCATCCTGTACCAGCATCCTGCTATTTTGAGCTTGCAGAAAGCCCCCCATGCCAGTGCCCCACTCAGCCCCACTTTCCTCTTCATCCATGCACTCCTCCATCTATTAGGAGCTCCTGCTGTGTGCCAGGCACTGTCTCAACTCCTGGGCAGCACCCAGGCCAAAAAGGACAGCATAGGTTCAGGGTGCCCCCTTCAAAGGGCATGGCCAGATGGCCAGTTCTTTCCTGCCTCTGCTCTGCTCCTTGTTTTCCCGGAGGATGAGGGTGAGGACATGTACTTCTTTCTGAGGTCTGAGCAGTCCTCTGGGAGGCTCTCAACCCAGGAGGCAGGGTGTCTGGCCAGCCAGCTGTGAGTCCAGCTGTCTGGCTTCCTGGGGACAGGCAGAGCTGGACCCCAGCAGACACAGTAGAAGCGCCTCCCTGGAAGCCTGAGCAAGGACCCATGTGAAGGCAGCAGGGCCCCTGCCAGGAGAGGCTGAAGGGAACCAGGGAGGATGCATGTGGCCCAGCTCCCCAGGCCCACCCTCCCAAGCTTTTCCTGAGCTCCTGCAAGGTGCCTCTTTCCCAGGTGCTGGGAAATCTTGAACGAGGCCCAGTGTCACACTGTGAGACCAGAGCAGGCAGCTCCCCAGGCGGGTCTGCCTTACAGAGTGGTCCACTCAGCACGCTGTCCTCCAGAAGATGCACAGACACATTGGCTCACTCAGGGCTCCGTGAGGTCCTGCCTGGTTGTGCTGCACTCAGCGTTGCCATTGCTCATTTGGCCATGGGACCCTTATCTTAACAAGATATACATAACCGCTCCCATAGAATGCATGTTCCCCGGAATCCTCTTGGGAAACTTACATGATCAGGTGACCAGGTTGGTGGTCAGGTAAGGCTTCACCAAGGATGTGCCTCTGGAGCTCTCGGAAGATCAGGCAGGAAGGATTTAAAGGGATGAGGTGAAGAAGGGCTAGGAGAGCAAGTCTGGGACACAGATGGAAGTGTGGCACCTTCAGGGAAGGAGAAGGCATGCCATGGGGCCTCCAGGCATTCAGGGGACACCCAAGGTTGGTCTTAGACTTCTTGACACAGGCCTGAGGGCAGATTCCTCCTAACTCTGCCCTTAGTGCTAGGAGGCTGGTAGAAACTGTGTTACCCAGGGCTTTGCTTGGCCACCTGGGACCCTGGCTGGCTTTGACACACACTGGGAGCAGCAGTGAAGCCTGGTCTCTTCCCTTCCCTGGAAAAGCCAGAGGCTGACCCAGGACACCTTGGCAGCCAGCCCAGCAAGGCCAGGCCAGGGGAGGAAAAGGAGACCGAAAGGAGGCTCTGCATCCCAACCTCAAATAACTGTGCTTTCTCGCGTTGCCTGCCACCGACAGAGGAGAAGTACGTCACTGTGCAGCCTTACACCAGCCAAAGCAAGGACGAGATTGGCTTTGAGAAGGGCGTCACCGTGGAGGTGATCCGGAAGAATTTGGAGGGCTGGTGGTACATCAGGTAGGAGTCCCAGCAGAGGAGCGAGATGCCTTGGGCAGCAGAGCAGGTAGATACTGCAGAGTGGCCGTGGGCACCAGTGCTGACGGGGAGATACTGACAGCAACTTTGCGCCCACAGCCCGGGCTTGGATGTGCCAAGTGTGCACAGCTGACCAGCTCGAGCAGAGAGTGTTCATCTTGCAGTCTCTCTCAGAACACATAAAGCAGAGCCTGAGCTGCAGCCAGCAGGACACAGGGGCCCCGGCTCAGCTTGCAGGCGGTGGTGCAGTCCCTGCCCATGCAGTTGCCAAGTGGCAATTGCCAAATTCAGCACATCTGAATTTGGTTTTCTGTGTCCGGCCTTGGCTGCCTGGCGTGCTCTGCAGCCCAGGCTGCCTGGAGCACTGGCGTCCACAGGTCCCAGCAGGGCCGCCCCTGCTGCCCATGGCTCAGCACTCAGGGCCCCAGATGCCGGCTCTGTCCCAGGCTGTCCCACTCTGCAGGGCTGGCTTACGTGGTTGCAAGAGCCAAGGCACAAGTGAGCCCTGAGCCCAGGCCTGGTTCAGAGCCCTCTTCCTTCTCCTGCCCCTCCCTCTTCCAGGGCCTAATCACACTTCCCAGCTGAGAAACCCTTTGGGGAGTGTGGGGAGTGGAGTGGGGGGCTTTCCTGATGTTCCTGGAAACAAACAAAACCCTGTGGGTTTCACTGGCCTCTCCCCTACCAAGTCCTGCCCCTCCAGTCCCCTCTGCCCTAGGGCTCTGAGGCCAGCGCCACCCTCAGGGAGCCTTGCTCTCAGGAAATGGCTTGGTTCCTTTGGAACCCACTTAGCTGTGATTATTTTGCCCAGTTTCTCTCTTCTCTGCTTGTAACCCATTTGGCAGAGATAGACCCGCTGTGGGCAGGATGCATGTTTTGAGCTGTCTCCCACAGAGGTGATGCGGGCACTTAAAACACAGTTGCTCAGACCATGGCTGACTGATGGTGTTGAGGTTGGTCTGTGCTGATGGGTAGGGTGAAGTTCATTGGCCTCATGGGACTGAACTTTAGTGTGACCTGACAGGACATAGCTGCCCTGGCCTTGTGCATATCAGTCAGGAGAGCTGCGGTGTCCCTTTCTGTCCGGTTAGGTGAGACAAGACTGTCCACCTGGACATGTGTTACCCAAAGCCCCTGCCTCTAGACTTGCATGTTCTCTAAGCGGTGCAAATGAGAGCCAGCCCCAAAATCCAACACCCACATGTCTGGCGTGGGAAGGCCAGCGAACAATCTGAAAGGCCAGTAACCTAAATCTGAAGGTTATCTAAACTTGCCTGGAGGTTATCTACAAAGCTGCTAGGGTTTGGTTTTTTGTTTGTTTTTTAAATTTTCTAAAATGACCAACAAAGTTCTTTTGAGCTGCTTCTTCTAGTCAACCCTTGTCCCCATGGCCTAGCCCTTTAGCCAGGGGGAGCTTCGACTGAGAAAACCCTGCTGAAAAGATTCCACCTTAAGAAAGCTGCCAGACACCCCCTTAAATATGCCATTTCCCAACATTCCAGGCTCTGTTGATCCTCATTTCCTGTCTTTCTTCTCTACCACTCCACACACACACACACACACACACACACACACACACACACACACACACACACACAAACGCACGCACACACTCCCTCCCTCATTCCCTCCCTCCCTCCCTCTCTCCCCGACTCTCCTTTTCCAGTTTGCTTCCCTCTGGAGTCATTCCATGCTCCAGAGCTGGAAAGCAGATGTGAGCAGAGTTGGACCCAGATACACACAGCCGCCCTTGATTCCCTTGCATCTCTCTGCCTGGAATCTAATTTTATCCATGTAACACCGAAGGAACACACGGGGTTTGAAATGGGAGTACTCAGACCAATGAGCGGGCCTGGCTCTTCCTCCCATGAGATCCTCCCATCACTCCACAGTGTCCTCACATAAAAACCCCTGCAGCAGCCGGCAGGCTACTAGGCAGGTTCCTCTTCATCGTTTCTCTGAGATGCAGGGGGAGCACCAGCTTCTGGGCTTGATGCTGCCACCAGCTAGCCCTGTGACCCTTTGCTACTTGCTTTGCTTTTTCTGAGCCATGGTGGTCGCCTCATGTAAGATTAGGAATCGCGACTAGTTGCTTCTATACACCCCTGAACTCCCGTCTGCCAGTTCCCTGATTTCCATCCATTTTGTTCACTGATGTCTGCCTCCCAAACCCCAACTAGGGGGCCAGGTGGGTGAGCTTCGGTCAGCCTGCCTGCACGTTCCTGTGACATGAGCATAAGAAGCCACCTCCTGCCTGAGCTTTCCAGCAAAGCTTGGACATGTCAATAGAAACTCTAAGTTTTACATTCCTTTTTCCCCCCACCTAATAAGTGCCCAAGAACAAGGACAGATGGGGAGGTAAGGAGGGGGATTGTCCAACATCTGGCATGGAGGAGCATTTCAAAGAGCCAGCTGTGTCCCCCGGAGCACACAGGGACATTGCAGCCCACACTCCGGGGCACTGACAACTGCTGGACTAGGAAGTGAGCTCCCCGTGGTTTTGGGTAGAAGCTCAACACCATGGGGACAAAAGGGAAAAAGCTTGTTTTCAGAAATCATAAAAATCACCAAAAATTAAGTCAGCCCTGTCATTTGCCCTTTCTCTTGTTTGTGGGTTTTTGGTTTTGTTTTCATTTTTTGTTTCACTTTATTTTTGCTTTGCCATACCAAATGTTTTGATTTTATTCATGTGCTTTTAGTCTTTTCATTTACGGTTTCGGCTTTTGGAATCCCATTTAAAAAGGTTTTCTCAACCTCCAAGATGAAGCAAATATTCACAACTTGCGTTTTTTCTATTTTGCTGTACACATTAAGGCCAGGGTCTCGCTTGTATTTACTAACCAGATAGTCAGTCATCCACAAATCACTCACTGAATAACCCATCCTCACCCCAGTGATTTGAAATGTCCCCTTTAGCATTGGTCTGTTTGTGGATTTATTCTGTGAACTTCATCCATCTGCTACTTCTGCTCAGTACTGATGCTTTCCCCACTCAGCCATCTTCCTACTTGTTTTCAATGTGTTTATCCTTCTGACTAAATTTTCGTAGCTATACTATCCCTGTGTTTTGCAGAAGAGAAAAAAAATTGAGCTCCAGGGTAGGGACTTGTCCAAGGTACAACAGACCAGAACTTGAATTTCCTAACTCCCCTGGGCTGCCTCTCTGCCCCTCTGATAATAGGGCATTTAGCTGTAGATACCTTCTCACAGCTTCTCTCTAGAATTGTTCTCTACTGATTGTGAGGTAGCAGGCTGTTATGAAGTCTACCTTTTGGGCAACCCAAAATTTAAGGACTCTTCTAGTCTGAAGGTCCCATGTTTGCCTGACTTTGCAGAGTATGAGGAGCCGTACCAAGAAGCTAGAGAGGAAGAAATGGTGTTCTGGGTGTCTGTTCTACCTGCTCTCAGTTCCAGCTCTCTCCAGAACAGTGGGATTGCCAAGTGTCTTGCAGAACACAGTAGAGGAGGCTTAGCTGGGCGAGGCCAGGTAGAGCCTGGGCCTGGGAGTGGGGTGTCAGGCCTCCGTGCTCTAATGACCCATGTCCTACCCTTCCCCCACAGGTACCTGGGCAAAGAAGGCTGGGCACCAGCATCCTATCTGAAGAAAGCCAAGGATGACCTGCCAGCACGGAAGAAGAATCTGGCAGGCCCAGTGGAGATTATTGGGAACATCATGGAGATCAGCAACCTGCTGAACAAGAAGGCATCAGGAGACAAGGAGACTCCACCAGCTGAAGGCGAGGGCCCAGAGGCCCCCATCACCAAGAAGGAAATCAGCCTGCCCATCCTCTGCAATGCCTCCAATGGCAGCGCCTTGGGGGTCCCCGAGAGGACCGTCTCCAAGCTGGCCCAGGGCTCCCCAGCCGTGGCCAGGATTGCCCCCCAGAGGGCCCAGATCAGTAAGAGCCTCACTGAGCCCTGGGTCCTTGCTGCAAAGCAGTTTGTAGAGTTGGTGTGGGGTACAAGGAATGCTAGAGGAGCATGCAGGACCCCCATTTCACTTTCTGTCTGAGATATAGACTGACTCCTGGCCCCAGCCTTACTCTGTCAGCTTGTCTCATGCTAATCACAGGGGTAGACAAGGCAATTCCTCCACTGAAGATAAACTACATGAATATATAAGGTGGTAGCAGTCCCTCTGTCTCTAGTGGAGAGCCAGGAATGTTCACTTTGCAGAAGAGTATAGTCCCCCAGGCTGTGAAATGTAAGCCATAGATGCAAGGCTGCTTTGCCGATAGAGAAACACATCTTTCTGGGCCTTACCCCACCTCCCTGATCGTCTTCCATCAGGTACTAGAAACCTAAGAGATGTGGACATGGTGGCTTTACCTCTCTCCACAAGCATAGTTTTAAGGGGCATTCTTCAGGGATCTCCTTCATTCTTATAGGGGAAACCCGGCTGTCTGGCATCCTTCCAGCCTCTACACATCTCTGGCTCACAGTGCCTTCAGCTGAGGGTTAAGCTGTCCTCTATTATGAGAGACCAGCTTCTGTTTGTGTCCATCCAGCCTTAAAATCTGGAGGAAAGCTGGTGTTTAGTTCGGAACTTGGGTGAGTTAGCTCTGTGCCTGAAACCTTTTAGGCAATCAGTTGGCAAATGTTTGGGGGGCACCTCCACTTGCCTGGAATTGTGTGCTAGCTTCTAAGGCAGCAGTTCTCAACCTGTGGGTCGCGACCCCTTTGGGGGTCGAACGACCCTTTCACAGGGGTCGCCGGGTACTCGTATGTGGGCGTATTTGCATGTGGGCCAGGAGACGGATAGAGGAGCGGTGTCTCGGTTCCTAAAACCATCGAAAATATGTGTTTTCCGATGCGACCCCTGTGAAAGGTTGAGAACCGCTGTTCTAAGGGCTTAGGAGTGAGCACAAAATAGACACGGTCCCCGCTCCTAACTTTGAAAATCTGATAAGGCCACACTACCCTTTCTCCTGAGTAATGCCTCCTCTGTATCTGTACATTTTGCGATGCGCACATCTCTTCAGAGGGTCTATGGAGCCTCCTGAAGCACAGCCCAGGAAGCTTAAAGGTCTATAGTTTCCCACCAAAGAAGCCCAACTACAGTGCCTGAATTGATGGAGAGCATGAGTCCTTCATAAATGGGGGACAAAAGTGGGAACTTCCCAGGATCAGGAGGCAGTCACACCTAGGAAGTCAAGTACAGGCTCTGTTGCCCAGTGTCTGGCTGGGATTTTTTTAAGCAATGTGTCTTCTTCTAGGCTCTCCGAACCTAAGGACAAGGCCTCCACCTCGCAGAGAATCCAGCCTGGTATGTGTGCTGCCTTTCTCCTCCCTGTTTCATTCCTTTCCTGGGGATGCACTGTAGCAGCCCCAGGTCATTGGCTGTCTCGCTGAAGAGCCTGTTGGTCCAGAAGTTTCACAGGGCCCTGCTGGGGCTTCCAGCTTTGTGGGGCTGGGGCAGAGAGAGAAGCCTGCAGATCCCAACCTTTCTGGGGGGCCTAGCTGGACAGTTTATAATCGAAAACATTCTGAACTCCAAAGCTAAATAAATCCATCCCAGCCACCACACTGGCAGACATAAACATTTAGACTGGCCAGTGAGAATGTCCGGCGGGGCATTGCCAGCAGCTGGAAATGGGGCTGCTGTCCATGTGAGCCTGGAAGCCTTTCTCAGCTTTGCCTTCTGTGCTTGGGAATGCCCGATGGAGGTGGTGGATGCCAGAGCCTGCGAGGGCAGAGGGCAGACCAGTGAGTATCCTCCACAAGAGGCGTCAGTGGCCAGGACTGGCTTATACTGAAACTTAAAAGAGGCTCAGTGCTGCTGGGGTCCCTGGCTCCTGTAGGTGGGGTTTCCTGGTATCCAGACTGTTAGGGAAGCAGGTGTGCACTCAGGGTGCTGGGCCTGGGCCTGCAGTGATGCTGGTGGCAGACCGAGAGCCCTAGAACAGAGACCTGTTATCAGGGACAGCGGGATGCAGTGGAAAAAAATATCGAGCCTGCCGGGCATGGATTCATATTCCACTTCTGACACTTAGAAACAGTGATGCCCAAGGCTAGTGGCTTACCCTCCACAAGCCTCAGTTTCCTTATCTATAAAATGGCCATGGTACCAGCCACCTCCTAGGGCTGTTGTAAGGATGAAAGAGACAGTGTGTGTTGACGGCTGGCTGTCGGGTTTCCATTTCCTGTGTCAGCTGTGACTGTTGGAGGGACTACCTGCTGCACTTTGTGGAAAAAGATTTCTGAAGTCACATCTAGACTAACAGCCAGAGTTTCTGTGATCAGTGGCATCTGCCCCAGAGAGGGGGATAGAGCAGTCCCTGCAAGAGTGGGCCTTCAATAAAGAGGATTATTGAAGATTTGGCCCCTGGAGATGAGACCATCTTTGCCCTGGCCCTCAGCCCCAGTGGAGTTTCTAGCTCGTTTTCCCCTTGCGTTTTACACGACTAAACAGCAAGTTCTTTCCTCCCATCTTTCTCAGCCCTGGCTAATTATTTTCAGGCAGACTTGATTTTGGCAAGAATAGGGTAATTCCTTCCACACTTACCAAATGCGGGGCTTGCTGAGGCAGGGCTGCTGTTTCCAGCTAGTCCCGACTGAATCCCACCTGGCCAGGGGTCCAGGCCGGGCTGGGGCCTGGGCCACATCTGCTCACGTGCATGGCTGCAGGGCCAGGCACCAGGACAGGGAAAGTGGACTGAATCATATCCGGTCCATCAAAACCAGCTTCCTCCTACCCTGAGCTGTAGCTGGGCTGTAACTGGCTGGATTAGGACACTTCAATCCTTAAAGGACAAGGAAGGTTCAGAGGATAGGGTGGTGGTGTTTCAGGAGGAGTGATCTGCTTTGGCTTCTATTTATGGAGCTCTTCCTGTGCTTTGGGCTGGGCCAGAATTGTCTCAGTAATCCTCTTAATGACCCTGCTATTCCATTTCATGGAAGAGGAAACTGAGGCTCAGAGAGATCAAGGGCCTTGCCCAAGGACATGCACCTGGTGAGTTGCTGAGCTGGGATTAGAGCCCACGTGTGCTCAGCTGCAAGGCTGAGGTCTTCGAGGTCTTCCTGCTACACCACAGCTAGGTCCCCCTTCCTAGTCTACCATGCACACGCACCTTTTTTCAAAAATTGCTCTGTTTTAACTCCTTTGTATGATACTAGGAAATACTGGGAGTGATGGGGAGGCACGAAGTCCATTTTGGCCAGGAGAGAGACTGGGTGAAGCTAGAACACCCACTCCCTAAGGGTCGTCCTTTTGGTTCACTATTGGACACCAGTGCCTTCGACCAGTCTGGCACCCAGCAGATGCACAACAAACATTTGGAAAATTAATGAATGAGGCTCAAAAGTCATGGGTTGCAGCCAAATTCTAAATGTCCTTGACTGTCGTGCTTAGGTATTGATGTGCCAGTGTCTAAAAACATTTAGGCTCTCCAGCGTGTCCCATCCTGCCCACGGAGCAGAGGGTCCTGAGTTTTATTTAGTGCTTGCCTGACCACCTGGTATCGTGATGACCCACCAAGGGCTCTTCTCACCCAATCCCACGCCCTCACACCCCACTTATAGAGATGGGTATGGCCCTGGCTCTGCCCCTTCAGCCAGAGGTCACCCCTGCAGCCCTTCTCCCTTAGACTTAAGGACGTTGGCTCTCCTCACACAGGGCAGTATACACAGACTTTGTTACGATTTCTCTGATTTTTCATTTTCATTTTGGGACCTAGTTGTTGAGGCTTCTGAAAACTGGACCTCCAGAGATGGAAGGGTGGGAATTACTGTATTACTAAATGATCGCTTTGTCAGCTCAGACAAGTCTCAGGTGAATCCTGGGTATTCATAGAAAGCCTGGTCGGGAGACATCCTGAGACTTAGGTGATAGATACATCCTTGGGACAGCTGCTGTCCAGCTGGTGTGAACGCCACACTCACCACTCGTACCATTCTGACCAGGTGGGTTTTGCTCAGAGTCCTTCTCTACCTTAGGGGTTCCAGCTGCCGAAGCCGCCAGAGCCCCCATCTGTTGAGGTGGAGTACTACACCATTGCCGAATTCCAATCGTGCATTTCTGACGGCATCAGCTTTCGGGGCGGACAGAAGGCAGAGGTGAGCCTTGCACCGTGGCCGCGAGGCTGAGGGTTTTAATTCAGGCTGGTCAAAGACCTCCTGCGTTTCCCTGTTATGTCTTGCTGGCAATGTTCCTGAGGGGCAGGCAGGAAATGTGTAGAAACAGGACCCATAAAACTAATAAGTGCCACAGTCAGGGCTAGAACCCAGGACCTGTGTCTCCACCCAGGGCTCACAGTGCTTCACTCCCAGCAGTACTTCCCAACGTGTATTGCAGGAGCTTGTGATGGGCTGACTTGAGAGAAAGGGCCTCTGTAGTCAAATGAGTTCGGAGGACAGTGGGTGACACAAAATCCAACCCGCTTAGTTGCTTCAATTGCAGAACTTCTCAGAGCCTATGGTATGGAGAGGTCACTGTGCATCTCTAAAAGGACTAGAATAGACAGCATTGCCCAGACCCATTTGGCCTCGACACGCTTTCTCTCCCAGGAGTATCTCAGTGGCCAGCACATTAGGAAGTGCTGTTGCTGGGAGAATGTGGTCCAGGCTGCAGAAGTAAGAGACGGGGGACCTGGGTTCTGGGCATGTCCCCGCTACAGGCACCTCTGGTGTTTGATGCAGTCACGTCTCCCCCCAGACTTTGATTTTTTTTCTCTGCAAAATGGGGTGGTACGCCCTGGGGTGCTCCCTCCCGGCCTCTCTCCTAGCATTTATGAAACTGCTTTTTGACTGGCCCTGAACATGGCATTCCAGCGGACAGAGAAGACCTGTGACTGCTGTTTCTCTTGAGTGACTCTGTGTAGTAATGGAGTTAAATCCCATTAATTCATGTAAAACAGTCAGAAGGTTAACTGGGCAGTCTCTGCCTATTGAAGAAGTGATATCCCCAGTGTGAGTGTTTTCAATCACATGGCTGGAACTCGGAACTAATTTTCCAAGAGAAATCATTCTCTTCGTGGTGCTTAGGTTCTCCAGAAGAGCCTACAAAGCTTGTAAAGTAACAGAACTGTCATACTTAGGATCTCCCCAAGCTTGACTTTTAGGTACAAGGTGGGTGGGGTGAAGGATGGAGCATAGGACCAAGGGAGGGCTGGTCTCAGGCAGAGCTTGCCTTTGGCTGTCTCTATCCTCCCTCCTTCCTTGCCCCTCTTCCCCCAGTGCCAGTGTTTTCATGCTTCCCCTACCCCTGCTCCAGGAGTGCTACACAACCCAAAATTATCTTCCCTTGGTGTTCCCCAATCCAAATGAACCCCAGCGTAACCTCACTCCTGACTTTTAGCCAATCTCAAATAGCAGGTAAGAAAGAAGCTCCTTGAACTAGTTTATACTAACATGGAAATGACTGAAAGCCCCTCATCCTTCCCACAGAAAACCATTCAACCCAAAGTAATCTTTTCAGCCCTAGAGTTTCAGTGGGATTCCACATGTAGGGAAAGGACCGCAGGCAGTGGGGAGAGCCGGGAGGTGGTCTGTGGGTACCTCAGGACATACCTCCCAGTTCAACTCCACCTGCATCTTCCCATTCTCTTCTGACTTGAGAAATCCTTTCCAGGGCCACCAAGGGAGGACCTCGTAATACTGGGGATGGGAGGAGGATGGGAATAGAGGAATGGTAGCTTTCTACGCATGAGTCCTTGGTGAGCTGGGTTTTGTAGGGACTGGGAACAGTGTTGTATCTTCTAAGTGCAGTAGCTTGGGGGCAGGAGAAGCAGGGGTCTGTGGGTCTATAGAGGAGGCCGGCTCGGCCAGGGTGTTCATGGAGACTTGGAGGACCAAGGAAGAGGGACTTGGAGAATAGGATCCCCCCAACCAGGAGATGATAGAGATGTGGGTTTGAATCCCAGACCATCACTTACTATTATATTGGGCCCGGGGACACTTAACCTACTCCGTGGCTCAGTTTGCTCACTTGTAAAATGGAGATAATGTCTCCTAGAGCCAAAGTATGAAACTCCTTGCCTGGCACATCATAGGGTCCCAGCGATCCTCCCAACTTACTAGCCTGTCCGCCCCTTCCCCCCCCAGGTCATCGACAAGAACTCTGGTGGCTGGTGGTACGTGCAGATCGGTGAGAAGGAGGGCTGGGCCCCTGCATCCTACATCGATAAGCGCAAGAAGCCCAACCTGAGCCGCCGTACAAGCACGCTGACCCGGCCAAAGGTACCCCCACCGGCGCCCCCCAGCAAGCCCAAGGAGGCTGAGGAGGGTCCAGCAGGCACTGGTGAGAGCCAGGACTCCCCGCTGAAACTCAAGTATGAGGAGCCTGAGTATGACATCCCTGCCTTTGGCTTCGATTCAGAGCCAGAGCTGAGCGAGGAGCCCACAGAGGACAGCAGCTTGGGGGACAGGCGGCCCGCCCAGCCCCATAGGCCCTCGCCCGCCTCCTCCCTGCAACGGGCTTGCTTCAAGGTAGGCGGGTCCTCAGAGGACGTGGCCCCAGAAGAGGAGACCATCTATGAGAACGAAGGCTTCCGGCCATGTGCAGAAGACACCCTGTCAGCCAGACGTTCCTCCCACGATAGTGACTCCCCAGGGGGCTCCCCGCTGTCCCTTGCCCGTAAAAATTCCCCCAAATCGGGCTCCCCCAAATCATCATCGCTCCTAAAGCTCAAGGCAGAGAAGAATGCCCAGGCAGAATTGGGGAAGAACCATTCGTCAGCCTCCTTTTCTTCATCCATCACCATCAACACCACCTGCTCCTCTTCCTCCTCCTCCTCTTCCTTGTCCAAGCACAGTGGCGACCTGAAGCCCCGTTCTGCCTCGGACGCAGGCATCCGCGGCACTCCCAAGGTCGGGGCAAAGAAGGACACTGACCTGAAGGCTGGGCTGACCTCCTGTGCCCGGGCCAAGCCATCTGTCCGGCCCAAGCCATTTCTGAACCGAGCAGAGTCCCAGAGTCAAGAGAAGATGGACATCAGCACTTTACGACGCCAGCTGAGACCCACAGGCCAGCTCCGGGGAGGTCTCAAGGGTTCCAAGAGTGAGGATTCAGAGCTGCCCCCCCAGACAGCCTCCGAGGGTCCCAACGAGGGGTCTCGGAGAGGCTCGGCCGACCTCATCACCCTCCCAGCTGCCACACCCCCATGTCCCACCAAGAAGGGACGGGTAGGGCAGGCCACCTCCTATACCACATGCAGTGCCTACCAGAAGGTCCAAGACTCAGAGATCAGCTTCCCCGCAGGCGTGGAGGTGCAGGTGCTCGAGAAGCTGGAAAGCGGCTGGTGGTACGTGAGGTTTGGGGAGCTAGAGGGCTGGGCCCCCTCCCACTATTTGGTGCTGGGTGAGAACGAGCCCCCTGACCCTTCTGGCAAAGAGCCGGACACAGTAACCACCAAGAGCAAACAGAATGAGGGCAAGTCCGACAGCCTGGAGAAGATCGAGAAGCGGGTGCAGGCACTGAACACCGTCAACCAGAGCAAGAGGGCCACACCGCCCATACCCTCCAAGCCCCCTGGGGGGTTTGGCAAGACCTCAGGTGCTGGAGCCGTGAAGATGAGGAACGGTGTGCGGCAGGTGGCAGTGAGGCCTCAGTCAGTGTTCGTGTCCCCACCACCCAAGGACAACAACCTGTCCTGTGCCCTTCGAAGGAACGAGTCTCTCACGGCCACCGACGGCCTCCGCAGCGTCCGCCGGAATTCCTCCTTCAGCACTGCCCGCTCAGCTGCCGCAGAGGCCAAGGGCCGCCTGGCCGAACGGGCCGCCAGCCAGGGCTCGGATACACCTCTGCTGCCCACCCAGCGCAATGGTATCCCCGTGTCCCCCGTGCGCCCCAAGCCCATCGAGAAGTCCCAGTTCATCCACAACAACCTCAAAGATGTGTATGTCTCCATCGCAGACTACGAGGGGGACGAGGAAACAGCGGGCTTCCAAGAGGGTGTGTCCATGGAGGTCCTGGAGAGAAACCCCAATGGCTGGTGGTACTGCCAGATCCTGGATGGGGTGAAGCCCTTCAAAGGCTGGGTGCCCTCCAACTACCTGGAGAAAAAGAACTAATGGGGGGGGCGGGGGGAATGGGTTCTTCCAGCCCGAGCCTGGATGAGTGGTGAGATGAAGACGAAAGGGAAAGGGAAAATGGGAGGGGGGTGGGGGGAGGACAGCATAAAACCCTGCAGAATGTGTGACCTCAAGGATGCTCCCCTCTGGGCTGTCCCCCAGCTGGAAGATAGGGTCTGGTGAGGGCCCACATTGAGCAGGGAAAGGAATGAGCAGGGGAGACCTGGAACCAGAGGTGAGACAGCTGAGCCCTACATGTGCATCTTGATGACTTCGCTGATGGACTTGGCATCGTTTGAGACAGGCCATGTGGGAAACCCCAGTTGTGCCTTGGCTGTAAATCTGGAAAAGGTTTGGTCGTAGGGGCCTCCTATGCCCTGCCCCAGCCTAGCCCAGTTCCAGTTGCTGGCATCTTGCCACCGGATATGGCCCTTGTATCGCCCTCATCTGTAATTGTGAATTGTGCTGGTTTCCAGGGATTGCCGCCACCCGCCACGGATGGTGTGGCAGAAGAGACCACTGGCTCTGGGGCTTGGAGGCATCTCCTATGAGCTCAGCCTGTCCCTGGGCCAGGCCACTGTCGGTGTCTGTTAATTGAAGAAAAAGCAGTTCTCCAGGTGCCACCAAAACCACCTTTCTTAGCCATCATGGCCCTGAGAAGAGAGCCCGTGCTGCCCGGGGTGACCACTGAGGACCAGCAGCCTGAGTTTACAGAGAAGGGGGGCGATGCCATAGATGTCTTTACAGTCTGCGCAGACTTTATTTTGCATATTTCCGGGTGGGCAGTTCCTTTGCATGTTTTGGGAGAGATTTATTGATTTGGGGCTTCTATGTTGGGCCTTGGGTTTTGGTCTTATTTTAGGGGTTGTTTGGGGGCCTAAGGGCGGTCAGCCTCACGGGACGGACGGGATAGGTAGTGGATAGTTTTTCTGTTGTACTCTTGTGGGGGGGTTGTTCGTGTTTCACATGCTTCCCCTCCACAAGCCAGTCATTTCATTTGGTTTCCACTGTGTGGGCAGTACCTGAGCACGACGTTTGCCTGAGGGATTGGGGGCTAGAGAAACCCTGGCTCCCAGACACGGTCAAATAGATACTGCTCTTCTGGTTCATGCCCAGCCCCACGAGGGAGGGGGGCCTTGTTCAGGAGACAAGGCGGCTCTCAGGCTGTTGGGTGACCGCCATTCTGCATACGTTCTCCCTCCTGGGCAGGACCAAAAGCCTTACATGTGAACTGTGGAGAAGCGGCCATCGCCCCCACCCTAGGCTGAGGGGACCCCTGGGCCAAACTGCAGCAAACACCACCAGCTGCCCCACAGCCTGCAAGTGATGCTGCAGGTGCCCGAGAAGATGGAGGACCCTAGGCCAGGAGCTGACCTGGTCTTTCTGAGGGGCAGTGCCCCTGCGAAGAGAGAAGCGAGAGAATAAAGTCCCTGTCAACTTTGGGTTGTGTCTTTCAATCGTTGACGTTTCAGAGGGGACCCTCCAGAAGCCGAAGCGGCTTCCCAAGGACTCCCCCTTTGCTGGGAGTGGATTTCCACACGTGCCTTTGATTTCGGACACATCAGGCTTCACAGCTACCAGTGCAGCTGCCAGAATCCTGGACTAAGGGTTGGTGATTTCTACAGAGGAGGAAAGGCCCTCCAGCCCTGCGCCCCACCCAGGCAGTGTATGCTGCCTGAAGATCAGCACGGACCTGGGTCTTGTGCCTTCCATGTCACACCCACCCCACCCTGAGCCCCGAGGCCTCGCCTGGGGATCTCCCCCAGCCCTCCTCCCGCCATACACTGACGCCTGGCAGCTATAGCAAACTGCTCATATTCTTTGTTGAAGGGCCGTGGTGAGATTTTCTTTCCTTTTGTTTTGTGAGTTTGTTTAAAATTGAAATTAGTTATTTTCTTCTGCTGGACAGTATTCAATAGAGCAGGATGTTGAGTTAATCTGCTAGATTGCAGTACTAATGGTAGTGGTTTAGTGTCTTCATATTAATATTATTTGGACTTATTTGAACAATAATGATAAAGAAGTGGTTCATTATTTTTTAATTAATGCACTTTAATAAGGTGGAATGGAAAGAAACCCAGAGAGCAAAGTGCATTACTTAAAGATGCAGTATATACTTTCCTCATTTTTAAGCAGCACATATTTATTAAAAGAAAAAAAAGTAATTTATGATTATTTAAAATAAAATTTAAAAGTAGAGTGACTGTCGGGTTAAAGGACCTTCCACGTAGCTATCTTCCAGGGGGAGGGCCCCAGTGGCCTCACTCCTCAAATGTCTGCACTGAGCCAGTTCAATCAATAACTTGCCAGCCAGGCCAGGAAGCAGTGCAGGACGCATCTGCCAAGCACAGAGCATCTCAGTTGGACTGGACCACAGTGTTCCCCATAGCCTGCCTTTCCCGGCCCCTCCTCACTGTCTGCACTGCCCCATGGGGCTCTCCACCACCCTCAAGGCCTGCATTCCCCCAGCCCCCCAAGGACTCTCTCTCTTTGATCCCCAGTGTTCTAAGTGATAGTCATTAAAAGTGACCTCAAAGGTCACCACCCCATCCCTTCCTGTTACTGCAGCCCAAGGACAGGAAATGACTTTCCCAAAATCACATAATTTAATGGCAGACCTCCCCACTGCATCGATCCTTGCACTCCTCCCCACCCCCATTATAGTTTATTGTGTGGTCATCATGTTTACATTGTGACATCCAGCCCTCAGGATGGCTGGGAGTTACTCCGGCATCCAGGAAAAGTGGGGAATGCTGCCACCTGGTGACAGCATGTAGATTTGGGCAGTGAACAGGGATTGCCATGCCCCCGTCTTTGCACCTCGCCCCTCACCATCACCCCTTAATTCACAGCACAGCACAAACCCTGCAAACCAAAAGAGAATATTAATACTTGAAGCAAAAAGGGTGCATACCAGTCCCTCTCAGATATGACCAGGGGATGCCAGGCCTTGTGCCCCTGGACTCCTAGCCCTACCCAGGGCAAGAGGGCCTTTTCCTAGAGCTACTGAGCTGCTTTGTGATGTTGGAGGGTACTGCTGGCAGCAGTTGGAGGAGGGGGGGGCCTGTGGCTCGGACCCATCTGGAGGAAAACCAGATCGGACTAAAAAAGGAAAAAAAAATGAAATCTCAGCAGTGTCCAAACTTAGTTTTCCATTAGTTGCGATTGAAAAATGTGAAATGACATTGTATGGCTGTATACTGCAACTTTAATCATAATGAGCCCTTCTGAGGTCATTATTGAGGTTTATATAATGCCCGAAGATGCATCATTGGTGCTTTTTCTTTCAGTTGAAAGACTTTCTTTTATTACAAGGGGGAAAAAAAAAAAGGTCTTCATCTTTCTCCCACTTTCTAACAGCGGGCGTGGCTGGGCTCCCTGGCCCCGCCATGTTGTTCCCACTAGGCCAAGGGACCGTGACAAGAGGTAGCTGCAAGGGGTAACCCTGAACAGCAGGTGTGCCATCCGCTCCTAGCTGTGGCGGGGCCCTGTTTTGATAGCCCTCGGCCCCATCCACCCCCAGCCTGGCCCCCACGGCTTCTCTTTTTTTCCTCCTCGATTCTACATCTTGACGAAGGCATTATATAGAATTGTTTTAATTACTTTCAGATGCTAGAGCAGCATATTTTAGTGGCATTTATCCATCGCTTTCCTCAGCAAGGCATGTTACTACTCTTATCATCTAAGGAAAAAGACAAGGGAATTTTGGTCAAGCATTATTTTCATATCACTAGTATTTGCAGAATAGGCGTAGAACTATTTAAATTTAGACCTTGGTTTGGTAGTTTTGTTTTTAAGGGAAAAAAAAATAAGTTAACCCCTGCTTTTCCTGTTTTTGTATTTAACTAATATATTATTTCTTTAAGGTTACTCACTTTCCCTGCCCCCTCCAAATACTTTGCATTCTCAATTGAAAATGAAAACAATCTGAGAGACAGGAAAAGTGCAATATTATCAAGAGGGATGCCAGGGCTTGTTGGGACAGTGGCGGGAGACCCAATGGCCCAGTCTGTCGATAGAAGGAGGCGGGGCTACTGTAAGGAGTCAGAGCTATGGACCAGACAGGTGGCCTTCTGGGTATTGATCTTTTCCCCACCTCCCCTCTCCCCTTCCCTAGCAAGATGGCAGGGGTCCTCGCCAGAGGACAGCCCCTTTTTCTGTTGGGGTTTTCCACCCAGAAGAAAGGGATTCAGGGAAGTGGCATGGGCTCTTGACCTCCTGGGGCCCCAGCCCTCGGGGCAGAGCAAGGACATCCAGGAACTGTTCCTTGTTTTCATTTCCATTGTTTTTTTAGCCAGCTGCTCAGAAAGACCTGTCCTGAAAATCACTCCCAGCAGCCCTCTCTTACCCCAGTCTCCTGATGTTTGGGCCATGATCCTTTTGATGTATGTTCAAGTCTTTCTAAAACTATGTAACCTCAGTTCAGTTAATGGGCAGGAACCCTAGATGTAGCCAAATCCTTTTTTGGGGATGTGGGTGCCTTGAGACCTACATATTCCCAGTGAGACACCAATTTCCACAAGCCTGCAGCTGGGCTTGGTGCTAAGCCTGGGCCACCCATTCATCTCAATGACTTCTGCCTGAGGGGTGAGCCCTGCCTCTGCTCAACACCCTGACGGTCCCCAGAGGGTCTTAGAGAAGCACCTGAGGGGCCTATTCAGGTCTGCAGACAGAACTGTCCACAACAGGTACCAAGCCAGCCCCCTCCTAACGTGGCGCTGGTAAAGCAGCAAAATGAGAAGTCTCTGGGTCCAAGTCCTTGGAGCTCTGCCCCTCAGGGCTACAGGGATGTCCTTGCTGGCTTGTCCCCTCCACCTCCAGTACTGTACGCTTGCTGCTCCAACCTGTTTGATGAATTTCTGTACAAATATGGATTTACGTGCCCAGAGTGAAACTGTGCCCCTGTGTGTGGGTGTCTCTATTTGGAGTGTATACATCTATGTCCAATCTTTGAGAATCTCGACACAGAGTTCTCTAGAAAGAGAACCATCCACATAGCTAAAGAATTAAGATTCCCTCACTTTTCTGAGGGCCGGTGTGTTGTTGAGAAAGTGTGTGTGTGTGTGTGTTTGTGTGTGTGTATGTGCGCACGCGCGCGTGTTGATAATTTCCCACTTGAACTAAATAACATGGGGTTAGAGAAAAAAAAATACCAGGCAAGCTGTCTCCATTGTACAAGTCCTTGGCATTGGGCAGGCCCCATGGGACTCGCGGCTTCTGGCAGCAAGTGTGTTATTCACACACAATTCTGGCTGGAGAGTGCAATGTGTCTTTTTTTTTTTTTTAATTATTTTATTAAGTATTTAGTTGGAAACTTCACACTGGCATTAACAGATCTAGCAGAAGCAGCCAAGGCCACTGTCCTGGGCTCCAAAATGAATATGTTGACAAGAGAGGCCTCTAGGTGTGCAAGTGCTGAGATGATTCAACTGGGTCACCACCTGCAGATATGTAGCAGGCTGACTCCCACCCATTGCCACGCATGTCATCACCATAGGAATCCCCATATACTAAAGGAGCTGCTGGCCCTCACTTGTGTTTCTGAGGGTGGTCAGGCTGGTGAGGGCAAGAACTTGCTCACAAGCTCAGCAGACCTGCACGTGCATATACATCAGCACCTTTAGTCTAGACCTCGGGCCCTGTCTAAACGTTTCACGGGAATAGTGTGGAGGGTTCCCCTTTCACCTTACTGAACTTTTTGCCTAAATCATGATCCCTGTTTGGGGCAGCTTCTATAGTTCTCATGCTCTGTGATCAGAGAAGGATGGGGTCAGTGACCTTATAACCTCATTTCAGGAAAAATAGCCCCACTGATTTTTAGCTTCCCTCCTGTTTTGTCCTGTGCAACTGGGTTCCCAGACCACAAGTTGGGCACATTGGTGCTTATTGACTGGGTAGAGGGCTCTGTCTTCCAAGGCCTTGGTCCCAACCTGCCTACAAGGTGGGGATTACCATGCGATCCCCCTACCCCAATCCTATCTTTTTAATCTTAAGTTTGCACTTGACAATCAGCCCCCTCTCCCATCCCAGTCCTAGAACGTAATGGCCTTAGAGAGTGGGTCCCTGTGCTGAAGGTCCCTCCTTTGCCCCCAGTTCCATCCTGGCTAGTGGGGCTGGACTTCAGGTGGTGAGAGAGAGAATTGATGTTTTAAAGCAAAAATGGATTGAGCACGTTGGAGGCGAGCAAGAGGCATGTTGGTGAGATGAGTATGTGCATGTTTGGGGTGTCTGGGGCTTACCGTCCCTTCCCTGGGAAGGCAGCTTCCAGAAGAGGATGTCTTCTGGGCAGAAAGGGAAAAGCGAGAAGACTGAGAGAGGGTTTGGAGTCTGGAGTTTTGTATATATTAAAAGGGAAGGAGTCAATTCTGAGTGTTTCAGGAAGACGAGAGCAGATAAGGAGGGAATATATTGATTCAACATGCAAGGGTCCAGCCAGAGCAGGTTAGAAAAGCCCCAGGATTAGGCCATAGAAGCTAGCCAGAGGAAACAGCTACTTGCTGTGCCACAAGCTGGATCCCCAGCAAGTTCTTAATGAATATTCATTGATTTACTAAGTGGAGAGGGGAAGTCACCAGCAACAAATTGATCTTTGAATTTGGAGGCCCAGGCTCCAGAATTTTCACCCATCTCCCAGGTTCCCAGCTGGTTTTTCCCACCTCTCTTTGTCCAATCCAGAGCTAGTCTCAAATTGCTTGAATCAATTAGACTAGTGACCAGATGGATCATACAGTAAGGGCCCACCACCCCCAAACTAGAACCCTGGGGTCTAGACACCATAAAGCTTATCTGGGAGGGAAGCAACTTCATGCCATTCTGTCGATCCCGGTTATTCTCAAGTGTCTCTGATGATACCTGTGGTTATTCAGTTGGCTGAGCCTGGCCACTGGTGTGACTTAGAAGACAGGATGCAATGCACACTCATCCATGGATATGCCCTTTCATTTCTGGTGACCTAGGACCAAGGCACACTGCTCATAAATGTTTATTTCAGAGAAAGAAGGGCAAACAGAGCCACCATTCTTGAATCTGCAACTTGTTCTCTGCAACAGGTTTTCTTTAAATCCAGTACAGGATGCTAGTTACTGAGAGGTCTGCAGGAAGGAGACTTCCAAGTGAAGCAGATGTGAGTGGCAGGTCCCTGAAGCGTGGGTTTGTGGACTGCATGGTTGCATGGGAACTGTTGGATGTCTCTGGGCTCCAGAACTTTGGGGAACCCCTTGCGGTGTCCACTTAACCCCTACCAGCTCCTAGCGGGCTCTGTGGGTGTCAGGAGGAGGTTCTTCCCTCTTCCCCACCTCAGCAGAGAAACTGAAAAAAAGAACACTGAATTTAGTGTGGTCAATTTGAGTGCTAAACAATTTCCAGGATCAATGGTGGTGCTAAACTATCTCCATGTTTCTAATATTTTTAATAGTTTTTTTTTTAATGGTTCTCATTACAAAAATGCAGTGTCCTTGGGGAAGGGACCCAGCCCCTTGGCCTGCCACTTTCCAGGTGTCCTTTATCATTTGACGGGACTCTTTGGTCTGCAGAAAATACTATCTTGGCATGCTTCTAGACTGTAAGATTTGGGTTGTTTTGTATTTTATGTTTACATGCATCTTCATGTATTTCCCTGAAAATTAAATAAAGTTTTTGGCCTTTTTAACAGAACAGAATCACCTTTTAATTCTCCCTGCCACCAGAAAACCTATCCAGCTGAATGGCAAAAGCCACATTATTCCAAATGTAGCGTGAACTGCAGGACCCCAGCCCGCTGAGGACGCTGGAGTTGGGGGGCAGGGAAGTTCCCACCATTGTTGGTAAGCATTGTGCTCAAGCCCCTCCCCCTTTCCCTGCCTTCACTTTAGGAGAGGCTTTCTGTGCAATGGCCAAGGCACAAGGCTTTGAAAGAGATGCAGATGGTTGGTCCAAAGGCCCATATCCAGCAGGCCTAGCTGGCCCCTCAGCTTGGAGCCCCTGACCCTCCCTACTTTTGCTGGACTCTAGTAAGCAGGGCAGGGCTGTCCTGATGTAGGGAGCGGCCTGTGGCTGTTCAAGGTCAGGCAGAGGCTGGGCAACCAGAGTATCCTCCCAGGAGAGAGGGCAGGAAGGCAGGCATCCCTGTGCCTGTGAGGCCTCACCCCACCAAATAAGGATGATTCCAAATTGTGCCTATACCCTCTCAGCCACCCCCAGCCTCTGCAGCCAGCCAGATATACTCAGCACATCTAAAAAGTTTCTCTTAAGGTCTCTTGGCAGAGGCCTTTTCTGCCCAGCGGTGCCGCTCATTTGGCATACTCACTCAGCACTGACCAATGAGAGCTCAGCTGAGGTCCCAGCCAGGGGCAGGGGTCTGGGCCAGGGGCGAGGGATGGGAAGGCCCCGTTCCTGAGAAGCTCGCTCAGTAGTCCCTGCTGACCCGAGGACTTGTCATCGTTCCGTTAGCCCATAGGTGGCGCTGCCACCCTACAAGGGTCGTGGGCCAGGTTCGGGGCCAGCTCAGCCTGAAGAGGAAGCCGAGCAGGCCTATGGACTCCCACTGCTCCTGCCCCAGTAAACACTTCTCCTCACCGACCCAGGGACCTGAGGTTACCAAAGGGCAGTGGCTTCTCCCATTCAACCTGCAAGACTCACCAGGCATTCTGGCCCCTGCTGTCCAAGCCCCAGGTCATGCTCCAGCCCCCCATTCCAGGGAGTTCCCTGATTGTTAACGCCCCTCCCTACTCAGGACACCTGACGCTCCAGCACCAACCCTGCCCCACCCCCACACCCCCACTGGCCCTCCCCAGCCCTCCGCGCTGCACAGCACAGCCCTCAGCTGGTACGAAATCACCTTTATTCACAATCACAGCGACCCAAGTTCACAAAGGAGGCAGCAACTACCCCGTACTAACAGAAAATGGGACGGATGGCTTCCTCACCGCCACCCTCAGGCCAGGCAGCCACTGCACTTAGGACCTTTCCTTGCCTCTGAGACGGGACCCTTGACTGGATGGGGCCACCCCACCCCCACAGAAGGCGTCTCTAGGGTCAGTGGGGTGACCCATAGTGGAACCATGACTTCCCAAAGGCCCAGCCTGGTGTCCTCACCCCCGGTGCTGTCCCACCACACCACCCCACAGCAGCCCCTCACCAAAGAACTAAGAGTCACACAAAGTCTGCCCCCATCCCCAATCATCTCACAGAGGTGGCAGCGGAGGCACAGAGGAGCTATGACCGGGCCAAGCCCACACAACCAGTCAGTTACCAGGTACAGAGTCCTGTGCTCTGCCAGCAACAGGAAGAAGCGATCTCTGATGAACGCAAACGGCCATCTGAGGCAGAGGGCTGGGCGGTGGCGGAGGAGCGGGAGAGACTGGGCCATGACTCTGAGCGCCCCAGCCCGTGGCCTAACAGGACAGGGCGAGCAGGGCAGAGATGTTTGTAGCCTAAGAGTAGGTTGGGGGTACTCCCTCACCCCAGAACCAGGAATAAGAACCCAGAGGTGCTGGGACCCATCCCCTACCACGCTCATCTTTCCTGGGGGTGGGGTGCCTTTCCAAAGAACTGGCTCCCTGCCCCTGCTGGCACTAGGCTCCCCGGCCGTTCCCTGGCCCAAGCTAGGCTGCCTTCCTTCAGCCTTCCCGGAGCCTTTTGTCCTTGTGGAGGGGATGCTTCTGGGCCTCCTGACGTATTTGTGCCAACCATAACCCTGCTCCAGCTCAGGGAAGGGCACTGTGTGGCCCCATGTATTAAGGAGGCTCAGTTTGCCTCTCTGTAAAATGGACACAATTTGCCAGGAGGTCTCCCAATTCAGCCCCTTTTATGGAGTTCTAATTCATGGGAAGCAGCGCTGGCTATGGACTTTTGGGCTGGAATCTGAGATTCTGAAGGATGAATACCTCTGCTATCCCCTCTCCAGGCATTCCGCACACCAGGGCAGCATTTCTAGGGGCTTAGGGGGTGGGAACTCACCCCCCCAACCGCCATCCAAACAACACAAATCAAATAAATAAATAAATAAATAAAAGGCTGGTTTTACCCCAGGAAACCCCCCTGCTCCCAACCCGGGGCCCTGGCCTCTCCTGGGGCTGTTACAGCGTCTCTGAGCATCAGCCAGGCCCAGGACAGCACTGAGATATAGGACAGGTCACAGAGAATAGATACAAAGCTGTTCTTAGAGTCCCTGACAGGACAGACCTTGCTCTCCAGCCACACCAAGGGACGAGATGATTGGGGCAGACAGGCTATGGCCAGGAAGGGGCCCTCTCACCTCTGCCAGGACACAGGGCCAGGGACTCAGAACCTGGAGCCTTCTGCAGCCTATCTGTCCACCCATCATGGATGAGTGGGAGAGGGACATGGCATGGAGACTGCAGCCTGACTGGGGTGAGAGGTATCCACTGGCCCTCTTTCCCCCGGATGCCAGGCCCCAGGGGCAGGGAAGAGAGGAACGAGGCGGGTAAAGGTCAGAGAGTAAGGCAGCAGCGCAGGGGCTACCTGTTGAGCAGGTTGTGCACTGCTCAAGGGCCGTTGGCTGAGGGAGCAGATGGGAAGCTGGAGTTCAGTCCATACTCCACTGGCCACGCCGCGTGCCCTGGCTCAGACCACATCTGCCCAGAGGAAAGGACACACTTTCTAATTCTCACAAAGGTGCCGCATGGGCTACAGGGACCTCACAGAAGTCTGCCCCAGATGGGGAAGGGTTGGGACAAGCTGAGACCCCAGTTTAGTCCCTCAGCATGAAGGGAAGAGCTAGGTGCAGAGAAGGGAACGGTAGGCGGAGTATAGACTCCTCCCCTCCCCTCTGGGGGACAATTTGCTTCTGCCCCCTAACTCCCTGCCTGATGCCCCCTTTCTCCCCAAACCTTCAGGGGCCTCAGTTTCCCATGTTTAATGGAGAAGGGAAAAGAGTTTCCAAAGTGAGGAAGAAGAGAAGGGGCCCCGTTGGCTTGCCCCTCAGCTGGAGCTGAGCCAAAGTCTGAAGAGATGGGCGTGCGGGGTGGGGTGCGGCAGCGGGCTAGGAGCTTCGGTAGGTCTTGATGATGTCCTTGATGGGGCGGCGACAGATGGGGCAGCAGGCGTGCAGGGCCTTCTTGAGACGCAGACCGCAGGCATAGCAGAGGCACATGTGGCCACATGTGTAGATGACCGTGTCCACCGCGTGCTCATAGCAAATGGTGCACTCATCACTCCACTGGCCCGTGCCTGGGGTCACTGGTGACTCGGGCAGGCTCACTGGTGAGTTGGGGGCCGTCCCTGGGGACAAGGGGACACCAGTCAGGTAAAGATTTGATCCAGCCCAGCCCCAAGTTAGTGGGAAGAAAGCACCTCTGCCTCTTGTCTCCCCCTCTATCAGGATCTGCCTGTTTGCCCTGATGAGCCAACTTCCTGGGCACAAGAGGGGAGAGGATACACTCTGGGCAGCCCCACTTCTGGCCCGTCAGCTCCCAGACCAGGGGCCAGGGTATCCATGAAGTAGTGAAGGAAGAAGAGGAAGGATGGAGGAAGGAAAGGGGCCCAAAATCTTTTAAGAGAGGGACCTCTTGAGCTATCTTTTGGTGTTCCCTGTGTACTTAAAAAGTCCTTTGGAGAAAGGTGCCCAGCTAGGGGACAGGATAGGATACACCCCAGAAATCACTACCCAACAGGGGTTCGGTGGGCCCACTCTAGCTCCTCTGAGGTCCCAGCCCTGATATAGAGGCTGCATGCCTTCCTCAGCCAGGATCTCAGGATGGGAAGTCTGGCACAGACAACATGGACCTGGAGGGGGCCAGCCCACTTACCACCAGCAGAGCTCCCCAGAGGTCCCAAACTGCACGTGCTGAGCAAGGGGTCAGAGAGGTGACTACCCAGGGTGCTGGGCGAGGTTGGCGTGGAGGCAGGGGAGCAGGGGAGTGATGGGATGCCCCGCTCTGCAAGGATGGTGGAGCCTGCAGAAGAAGGGAAGGAATGCGCTAGCCACTCAGAGGCCCACTGGAAGAAAGTTCAAGTAAGTTCTTGAAAGTTCTGCCCCTATAGTAGGTTCCCAGGAGAGAAAGTGGGTGCCACAGCTTCACCATACAGACCAGCCACTGGACTCAGGGCAGGATTCCACAGACTGGCTCAGCACCGTGCCACAGGATTTTCTTATTAGTGTTAACAGTTTTCAAGTTAATCTCCTTTTTCAGAAATTCATACCTCCTATTTGCTTTTCTTGACTTATTGCACTGGCTACCATTTTCAGAACAATATTGTAAGGCATTACTACCCTATTCCTGACTTAAATGAGACTGTTTCTAGTGTTTCTCCATTAAGTATGAAATTGGCTGTAGTTCTGGAGTGAAGGAAATAGCCTTCTATTCTTAGTTCACTTAGGCCTTCCACAAAGCAAAGCATTCTTCTATAAGGTAAATAATTACCCTTCACACATCGTCACTGATTTGTTTTCTCTTTGGAGTCAGTCATGATCCCTTAACATAAATTTCCTGGTTGAGACAACCAATTCTCCAAACAGCTCAGGAGCACTCTATTATATATAATATATATATTATATATATATATATATATAATATATATAATATATATTATATATATATAATATATATATATATATAATTAATTAATTTAAAAAATTCTGGATGATGATCTTTCAACATCCATCTTTGCCCACTTACCTCTTGGGACATTTAAGTCCTGATTTTTTTAAAGCTTCTTCTTTGCTCCAGTCTAGTAAGCCTCTTTGGACAACAGAAGCCTCACTGGAAAGCTACTTATTATTAGATGGTGCTGAAGCAAAGAGAGTACCTTGCCCTGATGTAATTTCCTTCGTCGGAGGAGCAGTGTCAACTGGTGAGTGTAGCCAAATATCTTTTTACCTCAGCTTGATTTCTTTTCTGCACCTAAGTCCGATATCTTTTTATTCCATCTTGAATTTTCACCCCCAACTTCTTTCCTTCCTGATGTCTTTTCATAGCCTAATTTCTTTTCATTCCTTCCTGATTTAGCTTCCCTCAATCCTAACTTCTTGACACCCCAGCCTCATTTCTTTTTATTCCTTTTTAAATTTAGTTTTCATGCCATCTTCATTTGGTCTCTGGAACACAGTAGGAAGTCCCTAATGATTTTATCTGATTTTACAAACTCTCACACACTCCCACAATCATCAACAGCATTACATACACAAATACACATGCATTTAGTTACTCACATGTGCCTATACTCAGCATGTCAATCTTACAGTGTAACTCATGCTCACTCACATACACACATTATCTTGACTATGAAGCCTCCTGGGGTGAGGTCTAGGCTGGGGGCCTGTAAGGCCCAAGGGTCTCCAAAGTTGTCTAAGCAAACTTGCTAGAAAGGAAAGGAAGGAAAGGAAGGAAAGGAAGGAAGGAAGGAAGGAAGGAAGGAAGGAAGGAAGGAAGGGAGGAAGGAAGGGAGGAAGGAAGGAAGGAAGGAAGGAAGGAAGGAAGGAAGGAAGGAAGGAAGGAAGGGAGGAAGGAAGGGAGGAAGGAAGGAAGGAAAAGAAAAAGAGAGAGAGAGAAGAGAAGAAAAGAAAAGGAAGAAAAAAAATTCAGATGCCCAGGATCTATCCAAGGTCTACAGAATCGAAATCTCTGGGGGTGGTACTCAAGAATCTGCACTTTAGCAGGCTCTCCAAGTGAATCTAATGAAACTAGCCCAGTCTATTGCAGCAGGTTAGCAGACCAGCACTTGGAAAGCTCAATCTCGGGTAACAGAGGGCCCAGGAGATCCTTTGTGAAAAAAAGGATTTCTGGTCAAATTAGTTTGGAAAAATAACCACCACACCCCACAACCACCACACACACCCCCTTATAGATTCACACGGCATATAAAAGCTCTGAGAAGTTCTGCAGTAAAGAATCCGTGCTTTAAAAAAACTCAGTATTTCCCAAACTCTTTTGACCCAAAGATCCTTTTTCAATGGACCCCTAATCCACAGAACAGTCTGGAAAACCTGGGATTACCCAAGTCTACATCCCCCAAATCCATTCCAAGTCTGTCCACTCAAACCCAGGAAAGTAAGGCTCAGATCTCTGCAACCCCGTTTCCTCCAAGGCCCTCTGCTCAGGATGCCTCACAGGCCCCCAATCCAGGCACCACCCTGCACAGGCACCTGGCTACGGACACACCAAACTCTGTTTCTTACTTAGACACACAACCATCCTTAGAGGCAGAGGCCTTATTCCCATTTTGGAGAAATGGAAACTGTGCCTCAAAAAGTTAGTTACTGGTGGAGGCAATATTTTCTCATTTTTAAGTGGCTACTGGAATGTGTGCACCTGGGCTGTTTCTAGATGATAGATAGATGATAGAATGATAGAATGATAGATAGATAGATAGATAGATAGATAGATAGATAGATAGATAGATAGATAGATATAGATAGCTCTATCTACATATCTATGGGAATATGGGTTAATCAGAATCGGAGTGCAATTCAATGATCCATGCTTTTCTCCCCTCCCCAGGGTGCATCCGGTGAGATCTGAGGGCCTCGGACTAGACAATAGAGTCCTGCCCAGAACACATTTTTCAGTGTCTGCAACTCCTTGGCAAGACTGCATGACGGGGTGGACTGGGCTCTCTTTTGCCCTACCCGGGGCCGGCCCCCTCCTCCAGGAAGGGCGCGATGCTAAGTCTGGAGGAGGACAGCTGAGGCCAGCCCTAGGGGGCCGTCGGGGAAAGCCAGCGCGTGGCCGGGAGCACTCACCGAGGATGCGGATCTGCGTGACCGCCCCGTGCAGGCCGAAGAGCATCCAGAGCGGCTGCGAAGCATCCACGCACAGCTGCATGCCGGCGGCGGCGCCGTTGTGGCTGAGGTGTAGCTCGCCGTCAGCGTTAACCACCAGGCCCAGGATGTCGCCACTGTGCAGGGGCCCGGGCACGCGGCACACAGCCCAGAACTCCTTGCGGTCCACCAGGGCCTCGGGGCTGAAGGGCAGGTCGGCGGGCCGCAGCGTGCCGGGGTCGCACGTGGTGACGCCGAAGGAGAGCGCGCCGGGCCGCGCGCCGCCCGAGCGCGTGACCTTGACGAAGATGGTCTCGGCCACGCGCACGGGCCGGCTGGTGAAGACGAGTGCGCGCTCGTCGCGCCCGTGCTCCAGGCGCGCCACCGTCTGCTCGTCAAGGATCCGGACGTGCGCGCCGGCGCGCAGCGCGTGGAAGCGCAGGTCGCCGTCGAGCTGCGCCGGGAGTGCGCGGCTGTGCTGGGAGTTGAGCGAGTTCTGCGGGATGGGGCAGCCGGCGGGTGGCGTGGCCTCGTCGCTGTCGGCAGCCGGCACGTTGAGGTCGCACAAGCTCACGGAGAGGCGCGCGTCGTCGGCCTCGCGTCGCAGCGACGGCCTCCGCAGGGCTGTGAAGGAGCGCGGCCGCAGGCAGTCCGGCAGCACCAGCTCGCTGTCTGCGGCCAGGGAGGGGAGAGACAGGGCAAACGTCAGGCAGGCCCCGCTGGGGCCGGTCCCCATCGCCTGCACCCTCCGACTAGTCTTTAAAAAATGCACCATCAAAACACTTACCAGACTTTTAAAGGACTAGAAAATGCCTGGAACATTAAAGAACAAAGTTGGGAAACCCAGGTTGTGTGGGACATCTAATTATTTAAGGAAGGATTAAGGCTGGGAGGAAAGACACCAAAATTGAAACCGAGGGTCATTATGACTTTGATTAAATTTAGCTTTAATCCTAGCTCTAGAAATCATCTCTCTCTCTACACCCCCTCACATACCTAGCCTTTCCCCCTTGAAAATCAGCAAACCCCGGAGGCAGCAAAAGACAGTGGCCCGGACCTGACTAATAGTCACAAGGGCTGGACTTCTGGCAGGCTAAAGATAACATCTGGACCTAAGTTATGTTTCAGGTCCTGAGCCCTAAGGTGGAAAGACCCCCTGGCTACTTTCCCATGAAATCACAGAGGGACTCCTGAGCAGACCTCAGAGCTGTCCTCAAGACCTGAAGAAATGATTTATTACACTTACCTCACCTCTGACCAATCAGCTCCCAGCACAACCCGGAATCCCTAACACCAGCCCCTTGCGATTTTGCCCTACATAACCTGTAACCTACATGCCATGGGAGAATCGGGTATTAGCTCCCTGTATTCCTGGTCGGCTAATTCAATATTAATCTATTTTTCTTTCTATACTGCAAACAGCTGCTCATGCATTTCTTTAGGGCCAGTGAGCACAGGCAGAAGGACTCAAATATTGGGGTTCCTGTAACAAAATTAAAAACGTGATTGGTATGCTTATGAGTTTTTTTTTGTGGGTTTTTTAAAATGTAACTCCTGAGGACCTCCCTCTTTATCCTCAGCAGCTAGAACAGCCCTGAGCATTTAGTAGACAAGCAGTAAATATGTATTGAATGCCCTGGAAACATCCCCAGAACTCCTCTTTGCATAAATTGTCTCATCTTATCCCAACAGTTACCTTTTAAAGTTATCGTTGCCACAGGAGGATAGTGCAGCTGTGAGAAGTTACCTAAATGTATCCAAGCTATCCTTTTGAAAGTGACTTAACAGGAAATCAAAAGATGTCTCTTTTTAATCATACAAGTCATACAGACTGTGTTTGTAGAAAAGACAGCTTGGCAAAAAGAAAAAGTAATTGCCTGTCAGCCCACACCATCCAGAGAAAAATACTATTAATATTTGGATGTGTGACCTTCCAGACTTATTTCAATATATTTTTCGTTAACTTTTTTTAATACAAAAATTGAATTATGCTAAACGCCAGTAGTTTTTAACCTTTTATAGGTAACAAATCCCTTTGAAAATGTGATAACTTTAACCTATCTCCTCCTCAGAAAAATGTACATTCTCCCTAAATTCTGTGGGCAGTTTCGGGACATCACATAAAGCCACCCATGGGCCTGGACTCCCGACTAAGAACCCTGTCATACAGATTTCCTTTTCAAAATTAGCGTCTCCACTTACTGTGTCCTGAACACCTTTTGATGCCAATGACTGTTTCTAAAACCATATATTTTAAATGGCTGTGTTATGCCCAGCTTTATGGAGTCCTATAATATATCATAAAAGTGATAACGTGCAATGAATTGCTTCTGCATTTCATCCCTAAAGCTTCCCGTGGAGGTGCTCCTGCTGTACAGATAAAGCTCAGAGATGTTATGCGACAGTTGCCAAATGGCAGATCCAGGATTGAAGCAAGGTCTAATGCCTGATGCCACAGTCTTCAGTTTTAGCCTTCCTTTTTATTAAACTCCTTCTGTGGAAGTCCCCAAATTTGGTTAGCGCCACCGCAGGCCATATCATGGGCCAACCCCTCCCTAAGGGCCTTTTCTCTGAGCTTCCCCATGGGAAACTGTGCTTTCTCTTCAAAAACTGGGTAAGGATGGCTGGGGTGCTTGGTGTCAGAGCAGAGCTTGTATGGGACTGGTATGAGCAGCAGAGGCTAGAATTCAGCTCTAGCTGCATCTAGAGACAGTCCCTAAAGCTTCCCTGTTTTTGTTCTCCCCTCGACTGCCCTGCCCCTTCCAGGAACAGTGTTGTTTGGGCCCAGGCAAGGCGAGAGTGCTGGGCCCTCCCCCCAAGTCCCCTGTCTCTCTGAAAAAGTCTCGTGGGGCCTGGCTGGTTGGGATTTCCCAGCATCATGCTTGGCAAGGGGAAGGGAGCCAACCGGAAAATGCGATTATTCCAGGGAATTGACTCTGTGACAGCGATGGTGCAGAGAGGCTGGGGGCTGCAGAGAGGCAGAGGTGAGGAGGGCCTGAGCAGGAGGGAGAAGCACAAGAGGCAAAGTGGGGACCTAGGGAGGGCTGTGGGTTGACCTGGACCTCAGGGAACAGCCCCTGCTCCCCCACCCCTCAGGGATTCCAGGCAATGGCCTTGAGGACTTCAGATCACTGGAGACAGACAGGGGAAGGGACAAGGACAGCAGGGTGAGGAGGAAACAAGTGGCTCAGAGATGCACAGCCAGGGTCTACAGGATCAAGGCTGTCACGGGGGCCCACATACGTCTTCACTCCACATTCCTCTCCCCACCCCCCACATACACTCAGGACAATCAGTCAGAGCCCATGGAGCTGGGCAGAACCTCAAAACAGATTTCTGAATGGGGCTGGATGTGAGCTTTCCTGGTCCCCTTCTACTTGAATATGCAGTCCTCTTTTATTTGAACATGCCTACTACTGGGCACTCACCACCTCCCAGGCAACCTGCGCTATTGTTGAGCCTAAATGTAAGACTTTATGGCAGTTATGCCGGACACCCAAGACATAATCACTAAACGACATCACTGACTAAAGATCAGGAAGGAGAGGGCCGGCCGAGTGGCGCGATGGTTAAGAACTCGCTTGGGATGCCAGAGGGCCCCGGTTCGGATCCCACATATGAGGGCCAGTGACACTGCCCTCTACAGCTAAGATGCTGAACAACAGCTCAACCTGGAGCTGGGCTGCCGTGAGTCGCCGGCGAAGGCGTGGGCTGCAGTCCCTGTGTCAGTGGGTTGCCATGGGCTACCGTGTGTAGCCAGCAGCCAGCGTGAGCGGCCAGCAGCCGCAGTGAGCGGCCGTCCAGAAGCCGGCGACTGATCTGCCTCACCCAGAAGAGCGCAATGATGGTGCCAACTTGGGCCAGTGAAGCAACATCCTCCACAACTAGACTGAAGAACAAAAACGACAGCAACTTGTCTGTCCCCCTTCCCCCAATTCCCCAGCACTGTTCCCATCCCCGCAATTCACCAATAAAAAAAAAAAAAAGATCAGGAAGGAGATACAAGTGGAGATTAGGGGAGAAAGAAGAGAAGGAAGGAGAAACAGTTGCGGGGGGAGGGTAGAGAGAGAGAAAGGGCAGGAAAATGCACCCCTTTGGCCTTGCCTGAAATATTGCAGGAGTTGGGAGAGGAGGTACAGGAGATGCTGGGAAACAGCTAAAAACAGAATCCCTGGGGCCAGTGCCCAGCCCAAGTATGTCTTCTATCCCATCCCCTCCAGCCCTTGGGGTCAGGAGCAGCTGCATGCCGCCAGCAAGCTCCAAAATAACAATCCCATCGGTGTGTCCAGCTGCGCCAGGGCCCTGAAATAGATGAAACTTGAGATTGAGGAGCTGATCAGAGCACCCTCCCCAGAAGGAACAGCAAGGGTCACAGTTGGGTGAGCTGACATCAAGTCAGGGGTCAGGGAAGGGTCTGGGCTCCCAAAGCCAAGGGAGAACACCATGGAACCAACCTCAGCCCAGGACTACACCCTCGGGGACAGCTTGGAAAAGCCAGACAAGCAACCTATATCCCCAAGCAGTGGTCCCAGGTTTGAAAGCAACAAGTTATGTAATCTGTGCCTGGGACCCACAGCTGCCCACTTTGGAGGTTTTATGACGGGGGGAGGGGTGGCACAAGGCCAAGGGAGAAGCTGCTAAACTGGCTACCCTCTCCTGTCCCCTCTTTCAGGGAATAATTTGTCAGCCTTCAGCTTCTGCCTAAGCTGGTCCCTGGCCTTGGCTCTGCAGATCTCCTGGGCCAGGGCAGAAACAACCAGGCCCTGCAAAGGGCAGGGAGGATCGGGCCAGGGGTTTCTTGCCCTGGGGGTGGCACTCAGGGTATCCACTCACTGAGCCGCTGTGTGCCTAACCCAGGGCAGGAGTTAAGGAGAGAGGGAAAAACCCTGGGGAGCCAGTAGCCCTTAGAAGGATTGAAGCTTGGAGGCATGAAAATATTTGAACACAATTTCGTTACAAAATTCTTAGTGTCTTGGGCTAGACAGGACCTTAAAGGAGAAGGAGGAAATCTACTTATCTCTGCCAAGTTCTCATGCAGCCTTGGCTAGAATGCCTCTGGGGACAAGAAGCTCACCACCTCCCAAGGCTATCTATCCCTATCTCTGAACAACTACAACTGTTAGAAAATGTTTCTTTGCATGGATCCATATGTGTTCTATATCCACTCCTTGGGGACCCCTTTAGAAGAAGAAAGAGCCTTCTCTTCTTTAGGATAAATATCCCTTTTAGGGTGATGCTCTCCAACTGAGGCTGAGGTCCCCCTTCCTGTTTCGGAGTGACTCAGAGACGGCATCTTGGAAAAAAACACAGTTTGACCTGGGCCCTGAAGGACAAGAGTGTTTGAATTGACAGAGGTGAGAGGCGCTCAGGTGGGTGGGAAAAGTACGTTAGCAAATGCCTGGAGAGCAGTCTGAGCGAGGCCAGTGAGGAGAAAGGAAAGGCGAGGAGCTGAGGGGTCAGGGGGAGGGCAGTAAGGCCAGCACTCACCCAGACGCCCACCAGGTCCTCCCACATGTTGCCAGCCAGTGCAGGGTAACTAAGGCCGGGCCTGGACACTGGTGCAGGGGGTCTCAGGGGACAGGCGAGGTGCTCCTTTGAAGCAGGGCCTGCCATCAGCCCGTCTTGTTTGTTTCGATTCTCACATCTGGAACTCTGGATAATCTTTAACCATG